TATTAATAATTAAAAAAATTTATATAATTTTTTATTTGATAAAAAATTTTAATTATCATTATATAATATATTAAATTTTTATTTAAATTTTATATTTAAAAAGTCAAAATATGACTATTAAATTTAAACAAGTACATTTTTTTATCATTAATTTATATAAAAATAAAAATGAATTTTAATTTTATCATTTTTTTAATTAAAATATTTTACATAATATTTATGTTGAAAATAAATATTATTTAATTTTTTAATATAAATATATAATAAAAATATATATTAAAAAGCTTCCTACCCACATCGATATCCTATATAGTTTTTTAATGTGTAATTAACTACCTTAAACCTTAATTAACTTCCAACCTTAACAAAATGGTTAATTATTGGTGGGATTAGAATGAAGAGATAAGCTCCAAGTCCAACTATGTATAACCTAACATTAGTTCAATTGTTCTTTAATTGATGACAGTAACAAGAAGTACATTGGTCATATATTTCTGATTGATATGGGTTGAAAAAGGGGGACACATTTTTCAAATTACTGAAAATATAATCGTTTGATTACGAAGGGTGTTAGCTTGGGTCCATAACTTACAAATAAAGTTAAAAGATTTTGTTTATTAGTGTTGTATTATTATATAATTATAATTTTTTATTATTTTAAAAATATGTAAAATATTAATTAAAATTAATAAAAATATATAAAGATTAATTAAAATAATAAATTTATATTTTAAAATAAAATATTATATTAAAAAAAAGTCTGTTCAAAGCACTCGCAAATGAGAGATAAAGTCATGGTGTATATCAAGAATGGGATTTTTTGCCTTAGATGAAAGGTACCCCAATTTTAAGACCAAGTCTCAACTTGATAATTTCAAAGGATTGATTTGGAGAAATCATGATGATGCTTCTAGAAAGTTATAAACCATTTATTTATTTATTTATTTTGAGCATTCTACAATTTGGGAGGACTGGAGATTTTTTTTCAATGTTGGTAGGAGTTGGAACTTCAATCAATAAATTGAAGTATTTAA